GAGAGAGAGAGAGAGAGAGAGAGAGAGAGAGAGAGAGAGAGAGAGAGAGAGAGAGAGAGAGAGAGAGAGAGAGAGAGAGAGAGAGAGAGACAGAGAGACAGAGAGACAGAGAGGGACAGAGAGAGACAGAGAGACAGAGAGACACACCCAATCATGGTTAGAAGTTATTTATTCTTTTAGTAGGTAATACATTTTATGTTTTAAATTAAAGAGTTGTAAGAAAACAAAGTGAAAAGTTTCTCTCTTCTCTGTCCATGACCTTGACAGTAAGGAAACCAGTTATATCAATCTGTGAGGCCCATTTAATTAAACTTCAATTTCTCAAGTTCTGTATTTGCCCAAGAGATACGGGTCAACAAGACAGTTGCTGTGTTTTCCTTATGGGATGAACCCGAAGATTCCTGGACACTGAGAAACATCCACAGAGAGAGTGCACTGTGGAAGTTCCAGCCACATGCATATATAAGATCCCCTTTCCTCCTCCTGTCCACAGTATGAAACAAGGGGTTGGAAGACAGTACAGCTGGTGAAGTGGTTGTTACACAAACAGGAGGATCTGAGTTTGATTCCTCAGAATCCACATAAAAAAGTCGACAACAATAAAACACTCTGAAACACTAACCTGCCCCTGAGATAAATGGTGGTCCTGAGGAACAATACCTGAAGTTGACCCCTGGCTTCCTTATCATGCACATGGACCAGTACGTACAACATGTGTGTATACACGAACACAAACACACATGCGCACACACATGAAAAAGTCTGATGTATTCTTCCTTCCTGTCAGCCACTTTATAAACACTAACTGTTCAATTGCCTCTCTAAAGCTGGCTCCATTACCTCCACTTTACATACAGGGACACCCAGAGTCGGAGAAATAAATGATCCTCTGGTGACCACAACCAAACAAAGCAACAGGATTAAAGTCAGATTCAAATTGTAGTCCTGGTACTCTAAGGTCTGTGTTTTTCCTAGTCTGTTGTTTGACCAGGAAAGCAAGTTGGACAGTTTATAAGGTTAGATTTCAACAAGACTAAGGGGGGAAATAAAACTAAAAGATTAAAAAAAGCTAAAAATGTAAAAGACAGTTTCAATGATTATATCACCAAAATTACCCAACTCAAAATTTCAATAGGAAACAGTTACCCCATCTCTAAGGTACCAAGTGGAGTCATCTATCCATTAAGGTAGGAAGTCTGCTATGTTAGGCCCACTCATTGGCTACAGAGAATGACTCATTAATCATTAAAATAATATGCCACGTCACAAAAATTTATTTTCCTCTCAGGTCATCTTAAAGAACAATGGGCACTTTATCTATACTAGATAGAGCACAACAAATATACGTACGTACGTGTTTATAATTCATATTTTATAAGTGAGGAAATAAGACACCCAAGTCAATTGCATAAGCCTACGCTTATGCACTTGTTAAGATCTTAGGCAACAAGAGAAAAGAATGAAATGCAGTAAGGTCACAGGATTTTGTTGGTCTTAGAAAGATAATTTTTTATCCAATTCAATGAAATTATACGATGATGTGGTTGGTGAAAATGGGAAAGCATCACCATCTTTGTCGCTTGGCCCACAAAAAGCATAACACTTTTGTAAATAAAAACCTTGGAAAGCAGAATCCAAAGTGAGAAATCACTTTGGTATACTCAATGGTCTACTAGTGCTACATATCCACAGAATATTTGTTTAATTGGCTTCTAGCCAGCCTCCCTTTAAAGTCGATCCCAGACAAACACACTTTACCCAGCACTAGCTCCACCGACTATAAGGCCCAGTATCTGAATCTGGATCATGGTACACAGAAAGTTTTAGTGTTCCAAACTTCAATGTGATCTAGCCCATGGTGGGGGGATAAAAGCTACTACAGGCAGATGAAAGTCCAATATTCTAGCTGGGCTGAAGACAAGAGAGGTCTCTGATGCTGGATATGACCTTACACCAGACATTAACAGCCTCTGGCCAATGGGGCCGCTATGAATTTTGTATTTTCACTCAAGATGCAGGAGAAGAGAACGTTGCAACTACGGATGTTAGTGCATTAAGAACTGAATGAATTCCGGAAGGAAAACACACAAGAGTACTGACCAGACTCTTTGACTAACACGTACAGTCACAGATCCATGGTATTTAGTTGCAATGTTTCCCGGAAACAGAAACCAAGGCTATTTTTTTTTCCTGATGTGGAAACTGGACTCAAATAATATCAGAATGTGAGGCAATCACATTTTTTTATATTCACAAATTTTGACCATTTAACAATCTTTGATTTCAATTTACTGTTACAAAAAAAAGCACACACTTCCTTTGAGGACTTCCAAAGTAAGAGCTCGAATAACAATGGCTAATGTAGAGTTTGATATCTGAACTTCATGACTGCATGTAATAAGCCACAAACAAGATAAAACCAATCTGATCAAAGCAAAACATGCAGGCTCTGGAGTAGCACTGATAAATATGGAGTGAAACACACATACAACCCTAGAAAATATTTTCACATGTAGTTAATATAAAAACACTGGTACATTTTTTAGTACTAAATATTCAAAATCTGGTGTGTATTTTGCACTCACTACATATTTCATTTCCAAAGCCCAGTTTCATGAGTTCCACGGCTCTTGTGGCTAACAGCTAGCTAAAAATAGAGCTAAGCCCACATGCACTGTACCAACACACGTCGGGTTCAATAAACAGGCTTTTAGAGGTGGC